GAAACCAAAGAAATTAAAAAGATCATCAGAGACTACTTTGAAAGTCTGTATGCCATGAAACAAGAGAACCTAGAAGAAATGGATAAATTCCTGGATTCCTATAATCTCCCAAGGCTGAATCAAGAAGATCTAATGTATCTGAATAGAGCTATTGATATCAAGGAAATTGAAACTGTAATCAGAAGTCTTCCCCAAAACAAAATCCCAGTTCCATATGGATTCACGAGTGACTTTTTCCAAACATTTAATGAGGACCTATTGCCAGTTCTTGTCAAGATTTTTCAGAAACTGAAGAAACAGAAACTCTCCCTAACAGTTTCTATGAAGCCTATATCTCTCTAATCCCAAAAGGAAACAAAAACACCCACCACAAGAAAGGAAAACTACAGGCCAATATCCCTGATGAACACAAATGAGAAGATTCTCAACAAAATACTAGCAAAGAGCATTCAACAACTCATCAAAAAGTACATACACCATGACCAAGTGGGATTCATTCCAGGGATCCAAGGATGGTTTAACATTCGGAAATCAATAAACATAATCCATCATATCAATGAAAGAAAAGATGAAAACCATATGATCATATCAACAGATGGAGAGAAAGCATCTGACAAGATCTAGCACCCATTTATGATGAAAACTCTCACCAAAATGGGCATAGAGGGGACTTTCCTCAGTACAGTTAAAGCCATCTACCACAAGCCTATGGCAACCATCATCCTAAATGGGGAAAAACTATGAGCCCTCCCTCTAAGATCAGGGACGAGATACGGATACCCATCTCTCCACTGCTATTCAATATAGTACGGGAAGTACTTTCAATAGCGGTTAGGCAAGAAAAAGATATTAAGAGCATTCAGGTAGGAAAGGAAGAAATCAAGCTCTCACTATTCACAGATGATATGATACTATATTAGAGAACCCTAAAGCCTCTACCAGGAATCTCCTATAAACAATAATTTGTATAGTAAAGTTGCAGACTATAAAATCAATACCCAAAAGTCCATGGCTTACCTATATGCAAATAGTGAGAGATAAAGTGACATGAAAAAAAAAAAACAAAAACAACTCCGATCACAATTGTACCCTAGAAAATCAAGTACCTAGGAATCAGCTTAACAAAGAAAATAAAAGACTGTAGACAGAAAACTACAAAATGCTACTTCAGGAAATAAGAGAGGACACGAGAAAATAGAAATATCTCCCCTACTCATGGATCAGGAGAATTAACATTGTTAAAAAGGCAATACTCCCCAAAGCATTGTACAAATTCAATGTGATCCCTATAACGATACCCATGACATTCTTCAAAGAAATGGAGCAAACATCTCCCCCCCCCAAAGATATGATCACCAAGTAAAGGGTGTTGGGAGCATTCTCCCAGGATGGAAGATCATGCTGAAAGTAGATTATAGACGAACATGATTGCCACTCAATTCCTCTTTTGCAAACTTCAGCACCTAAAAGGAGAGACAGAACAAAAGGAAATGCCCTGCCACAGAGGTGGGATGGGATGTGGGGATGGGGGGGGTGGGATGGATACTGGGATCATTGGTGGTGGAGAATGTGCACTGGTGCAGGTATGGGTACTCGATCATTGTATAACTGAACCCCAAGCACAAAATTCTTAAGTCTACAACTGTAGCTCACGGTGTTTCACAAATAAAAATTAAAATAAATAAATATATAAATAAATAAAAATTATGAAAGCTCTCTAGTTAGCTAGCAGTATCCCTGGAACTGATCTGGGATGTAACAAGCTCAGCAATGTTCACATTCTCTGACACTTAGGTCTAAAACTCTCCAGTTTTTGTGAGCTGGTTGTGTAAGAAAAGGCTGTTACCTGAACAAAATTTCGTCTGGCATGATTTAGGTTCCGTGGAGGTAGCTAGTGGAAGGTACCAATGAAAGTACCAATGAAGATACCAGTAGAAGGTGGCATTTTTTTCCTTTTTTCCCCTTTTCTTTGCATGCATTGTGTGTGGAGTGGGGGTCGGTTAGTGTGGGGGGGTGGGGAGAGATGGGAGTAAGGCCTTCAATTTATAATTTTTAATTGAAAGAAAATCAAAATTTCTTATCATCTAATCACCCAGGATGGGGAAGGAATAGTTCCCTCATTTTAAAAAAGTCTAGGGTGTTTGCCTTGTACCAGGCCTACCCAGGTTCAATTCCCAGCATCCCATATCATTGCCCAAGCACCGCCAAGAGTAATCCTGAGCCTAATGCCAGGAGTAACCCCTGAGCATCTCTGGGTGTGGCACTGCACCCCCCCCCAAATTTTTTTTTTCCTCAGTTCAAAAGATATTGTCCTGGGGCTGGAGAGATAGTACAAAGGAAGGCATCTGCTGACCCAAACACGACTAAGAATGATCCCTGAGTGCAGACCTGGAGCACCATGTAGTTTCCAAACAAACAATATATAACAAATATTAAAGATTTCATGGGGCAGGGTATAGTACAGCGGTTAGGGTGCCTGCCTGATCAGGTTGATTTCAGGCACTACATGGTCCCCCAAGCAGTTCATCGTGTAGACCTGGAAGCCCCCAGCATCAACTATCTCGGTGACATGGGTACCATAGGAATCAAACTGCATTACTGCATTGTTGGCCCACAGACCACTTGAGTTCTACTTGGGACCTGCCTCTCTATAGCCAAAGAATTTAGCCAGTTTATATTTGGATGGATAATAGTAGATTGTCTAACATTTATTTGTAAAATGTGCTTTCCAAACCAAACTTACGTTTTAGCTGAAACTTTCATTTTCTGTCAATCATAAAAACCTAGACTTCACATCCACTACATCAGTTTTATAAGCTGATTTAGTTTAACTAATTTCATTTTTAATTTTTGGGCAATAACCTGCTATACTCAGGGATCATTCATCGTGCTGCTTAGAGGACCTTATATGGTGCCAGGAATCTAATCTTTGGCTATGTAGCAGGAGTTCTATATGGCAAAATCCTTGAACTCTTGAAAATATTTTCAAATAGTAATTGAACTCTGTATTCTTTCTGGCCCCAATTTTTAATTTTAAATGAGCAAATGTCTATTTTATTTAGGATCAATGAATATATAAATATTATTTCTCCATTTTTAAGTAGAAAATTAGAAAGGAAAAAGTAGACAAAAGTATAGTGATTCTATTTTTGCATCAAAATTTTAGAGTGACCAGCAAGTAGGAGAATGAAACACACAATGCACATACATTTCATATAATTTAAAAAAACAGGCCTGGAGATAGTACATCAATTGGGTTGCATTGCCTACCAGCATGCACCCAGTACAGGTTTGATTGAGGGAAGGGGATCCTAAGTACCTCCTGGGTGCAGCCCAGAGGTCCCCAGCACCACAGGGCCTGAGCAGCACTGCATTGTCACACCCTTGTCATACTAAGAATCATAGGTAGGGATCAAAGGCACCATTTGAGAGTTCTCCCCAAAAGATAATTTTAGTTATTAAAAGTATGTCAAAATACCTAGTAAAGGAAATGTGTTCATAATGGAAAATTAGGAATAACCCAAATACTAATAGCTACCTCTTCCAATTTTTTAATGTAGAACTTTCAGAGCTTTTCTTTTCATCTATACAATCTATGCTTGTGTGACTACCCTTAGCTGTTTTCATGTATATACTGAGAACTTCCAAGTTTAAAGGTCAAGATGTTTAACTGGCACCGGTTAAAAAAAAATAAGATGCACACACAACGCGAAAAATATTTTCAAATAGTAATTGAAAGCATCATTATAGAGTTGCTTCTTTTGTTGTATTTTGTTTGCACTGTAATTTTTTTTCAAAGTTCAACTTTTGTTCTCAAATTATAGTAAAAAGTAAACTATCTTTTTATTCCCAATTTGTTTTTGGATGTTAGTAGCTCCTGACTATTGTTTGAGGTCACACCCTTCTATGCTCAGGGTATTTATACCTGGTTCTGCACTGAGAAATTACTTCTGGAAGTCCGTTGGTCCTGTGCAAGGCAAGTGCATTACCGACTGTACTATCGTACTATCCTGTGGTCCCTCCTGAATAATTTTATACACCTTTATTTCATTCAACTTTTACTGAGACAATTATGAAAATATGAGCATATTGAGCGGTAATAACATAAAATAATAGAATTTAAAACAAATTCAGACCCTGGAGTTTCAGCTTACCACCAGTTTCTAAAAAGGTGGGGTGGGGGGGGGACCAGAGTGATCGCTATAACAAGATCCTTAACTCTCTCTGGAGTGTTTTTGACAATTGAGAGCTTATCTGGTGTCATTTTCTCTTTTCTGTTGTTTCTACTGGGACTCAGATACAAGCACTATAAAATCCGTTGTCAACCTAAGACCTTCCCGTGATGAAGAGAGAAGATAGGACAGTTATGACCTTCCGGTGATGAAGAGAGAAGATGGGACAGTTTTTCTCCTTGAACAAGAGGTGTGAAGGGTTGTCTGGTAAAATGTTTTGTGGCGACACACGGTTTTCTAACGCCTGATAATAGGAATTTTGAGGTAACTTTCCCTACAAAATTTTAGACTTTTCTATTTTTTAAAAAAATTCAACGTAGCAACAGTTACATAACTTTACGACGAACTAAACTTTTAGACTTTCCTCCCTTCCACTTCTCTCCCCGGAATTTGGAGGCTAGATGGGGCGGGGTTTGGGGGGCTGCTCCAGGGTTCTCCAGGCTTGAGGGTCACTTCGAGCCGTGTTGCTTACTCGGGAACCTTAACTGGGACCTAACCTATCTCTTGAGCGCGAAGTAAGTGCTCTGTCCACAGCGGTACCTCCTCCTATTTAAAAAAACAAACAAACAAAAAAACCAACAATAACAACAACAACAAAAAAAAACCTTTCACTGGGGGAACCTCAAATGAAGTGCTGAGTTTCGACCTGCAAAAGCTTCATCTAGAAATCACATACATGGCTTAAAAATACTTACCAAACTCTTGCTAGTACCATTTCTTTAGCAAACTACATTCTAAAGAACTATTTACTTTTAAATATATAAAAATTAAAATATATATTTATTTATTTTGCCAGCAAACGGTTTATTGAACATAACTCAGATCTGCAAAACCCGAATTTCTGAACTTCAAAGTCAGGCTCGCACAGCCCCCTTCCGCGAACAGAAAAGTCACAGTCTGTCCACCCCCGAACAAGCAGATCTGTCCCGAACCAGCACCGCAGCCGGACATCTCACGCGTGCAGCGCTCGCCACTTGTCCAGGGCCCCTCGGTCCGGGACGTACTTGACTCCGCACCCGTCCGGGATGAGGCGCTTCTGGGCCACTTGCTCTTCAAACTCGTTGGCATTGAACTTGGTGAAGCCCCACTTCTTGGAGATGTGAATCTTCTGGCGGCCGGGGAACTTGAACTTGGCCCGGCGTAAGGCTTCGATCACATGCTCCTTGTTCTGCAGCTTGGTACGGATGGACATGATGACTTGACCAATATGGACTCGGGCCACCGTGCCCTGCGGCTTCCCGAAGGCGCCCCGCATGCCCGTCTGCAGGCGGTCGGCGCCGGCACACGACAGCATCTTGTTGATGCGGATGACGTGGAAGGGATGGAGCCGCACGCGGATGTGGAAGCCGTCTTTGCCGCAACTTTTCACCATGTACTTGTTGGCGCAGATTCGGGCGGCCTCCAGGGCTTCGGAGGAGAGCTGCTCGTACTCATCCGACACCATATGGCCGCACAGCGGGAACTCGTCCACCTTCGCCTTCTTCCGACCCAGGTCAAAGATACGGATCTTGGCGTCGGGAACGCCGCGGCAGAAGCGCGACTTCGGGTACGGCTTATTCTTACAGTACCGGTAACAGCGGGCTGGGCGGCGACCCATGGCGACGCTCAGAACCGGAGCTGGGAGACGGAGCGGAAAGAGTCGTTTGCGCGCCTGCGTGCGCGTGCCTTTTCTACAGGGCCCGTCATCCGCGCAGAAACCATAGAGTCCGGGGGAGGACGCTCTTTCCGAACGTTCCAACCATAGATGCCAGACGCCGGACTCTCCCTAAACCCACTGTAGTGGGGCTAGGCGTGGTCTTAAGGCACCTGCGCAAAAACCGAACCGGGGCTGGTGGTGGTGGTGGGGAGGGGGGGTGCGAGGGGGGGGGAGTGCGAGTGGCTTCTGGGTAACATATTTGACCTTTGCACCGGCTTCCTCCCTTTTCAGTTTGCAATTTGTTGGGAGTCAGTATAACTCTGACCCTAGGCTGTAAGCATAGCCAACGGATTTTCTTAGAGTTGGAATTAAAAGTATCTTTGCAGATAGTTATGTACTTTTCATCTGGTTTGACCAAAGAATCCTCTTTCCAGACCCTCTACCTCCGCTCAGTATTTTTGTAGCTAGATTGCTGTTTCTCAGATTGTGGCTATCTTTCCCTGGATATAGGGGTTTCATGGTGTAAGCTTTCTGATAGGGCTCAGGAACAGAGGAGTGTTGAGTAGTGATCATAAAATTTCTACTTCCTAATGACATCAACAAAAAATGAAAAGGCCAACTGAATTTTGAATTTAAGGTTATTTCTTGGGGAGGGGGCAGGGGGAATACATTTAGTAGTGATCAGGGTTTACTCTTGACTCTGTGTTTAGGGGAGCACTCCTGGCAGGACTCAGGGGATCATATGCGGTGGCAAGGTACCAACCTGGCTAGGCCTCATGCAAGAAAAACACCCACTGCACTCTCAGGCCCCAAGGCTATTTACCCTTTTTTTTAATATTTCAAATGCTGAATGTAAAAGTTAATTTTTATATAGATGGACCAGGGATCCAGGAAAGGGAAATGAAAGAAAGAATTTGCAAAATTATGTTTCCTTGTTTACTTCCCACCATTTCACAAATGTGATGTGTGTGTGTGTGGGGGGGGGGGGGATCTTTAAAATGTGAATACTATTCTGCTGGACTGGAGCGGGTAGGACCTTTGCGTTGCATGCGGCTGACCTGGGTTCGATTTCTCAGTCCCTGTTGGCGAGCCGGCAAGTATCCTGAGAGCATCGCGCCCACACAGCAGAGCCTGGGAAGCTCCCCTTGGCAAATTCAAATGCTGAAAACAGTAACAAGTCTCACAATGGAGAGGTTACTGGTGGGAGGATAGTGCTACAGTGCTACTATTCTGCTGATGCAGTTTCTTCAACAGGGAGAACAGTTGTAAGAAAAAAAAACCTGTCCTTAAAGTGTATGAGCTTTACAATCACCCTTGTTAGGAAAGAAAAATGAAAACTAGTGTAGAGAACTCCTATAACATAGAAGTTTGCTTCTTCTTCTCCTGATCATTACTCTTCCTCAATTAGTTCTTAACTACAGAAAGCCTGCAAGCAACAAGTAAATGTAGTTGCTCTAAACTTATAAGTCTGGAGTGATTTAAGCTGCTACTTAAAAAGTAAGTTCTCTGATTTGGAAAGTACAAGTGTTCCAGGGGCTGTAGATTTAACAGGTGAGGCGTTTGTCTGCCTGTCACTGACCCTAAACCCTGGCAACACCTATGGCCACCTCCAGGAGTTATGATTGTATACAGGGCCAGGAGTAAACTGAGCACTGTAAGGTGTGGTTCCAAAACAAACACACAAAACACAGGACAATAAAGTGCCTCCATAAAAAAAAAAACATAGCTGGCAATGAGCCCTGATCTATATTGATATTGAATAGACAGGAAGACTACACCAGGAAAAGGACTCAGTAATTGTGGCAGGAGGAGTCTGGTATTTGCCAAGGCCCTGACTATTGACCCTTTAAGAAATTAAAGGAAAGCCAGTATGACTGAATCAGGAAGTGAGTGCCATCTGGGAGTCCAGGGTGTATTAGGGGGGTGGAAATCTGCATATTAAACAGGTCTATTTAAGACAGAGATCTTGCTTTTCTATTTGAGACTACTGAAGAGCCGTAGAGGGCTTTTAACTCTCACTTATATAGAGTACAGTCAATAAACTAGACTGAATCCAAGAAGGGATACAGGCATGATAAGAAATGAGAATAATACAAACAAGAATTTAATACTCCTTTTTATGTCCCAGCATGACTAAGACCCCGATGAAGCATTTTATTTCAGTTTCATCAGGACTGCTTGATACCACTGGATGGTGAGAATAGTGTAGGTGGGAAACAATCATTTGTACCACACCAAAAGAGAATAGTAAAAGTAGGTTTAGAAAATAATCCATAACCTGTAATTATTTTGGAAAGGGTAGGAATAAGCATGGATCATTTTCTAGGGATTTTTTAAAAAGAAGGCAGAAAAACACTACTGATTATTTTTTTACGTCATTCACTTTTGTGAAGTATTTATTTTCATGATTTTCCTTCCCTGTTCTACAACCCTTATGCAAGATATTTGTGATATTTGTTGCATATTGATTAAGCAAACATCAACGCAACTTGAAATGTTTAGAATTAGCTTTGAGCAATGTTGGAAGTCCAAATTCCTAGCATCTTCTGCTTTCATGCAAAAACTGGAAAGGAATAGCTCTGAGTTTCAGTTCAATTCAGAACATTTCTTCTTTCTTCTCTATCACATTTTGTAAATTGAAAAACCCAGCTTCTTAAAGAAAAATCTGCCTTGCGATTTAGCACATTAACTGAAAAGCACTCTGGATGCCTTCTCCTGCTGCTTGAACTATCGGAATTGTTGTTCACTCAGCCGTTTGGTAGTATTCTATCACATGGTGTTTGACAATACACTTATGTGATTTAGAGATCATATTCCCACTTGGAATTGCAATGAAGTGTAAAGTCTCCACTGATGATGAATAATCACTTTCTTCTGTGTTTCATAGTGACTTCACACTTGGAGCTACAATCTCAGTATATTTGAAAGGTAACATGAGCAACTTGGCTTCATTTTCCTAGAGTTAAGTAGTGAATATAAGAGTCATAGTTTTAGCTGAATCTTCAAAGTCAGATATTGTCCAGAGTGATCGTTTTTAATTGTTATCGTCATAGTGGTCCCCTCTCTATCCTAACTGACTTCTCCATTTACCCCCCACTTGTGACAAGCTTCAAATCATGAACCAGTCTCCTGGCTCTCGTTTCTATTGTCCTTGGGTATTAGTCTCATACTGTGCTTTATATATGTATCTCACAAATGAGTGCAATCATTCCATATGTCTGTCCCACTCCTTCTGAGTCATTTCACTCAATATTATACTCTTCGTGTCCATCCATTTAAAGGTAAATTTCATGACTTCATTCTTCTAGTGGCTGTGTAGTATTCCACTGTGTAGATATATCATGGTTTCTTTATCCAGTAGTCTGTTCTCGGGCACTAGGGTTGTTTCCAGACTATAGCTATTGTGAACAGTGCTGCAATGAACAATGCAATGCAGATGGCATTTCTGCTCTATGTTTTTGGGACCTCAGGGTAAATTCCTAGAAGTGGTATTGCTGGGTCCTATGGAAGCTCAGTTTCTAGTTTTTGGAGGAATATCCATATTGTTTTCCAAATAGGCTAGACCAATTGGCATTCCCACCAACAATGAATAAAAGTCTCTCTCCCCGCATCCATGCCAGCCCTGGGTGGTCTTGTTCTTTTTAGGTGTGTCAATCTTTTTGGTGTCAAATGATATCTCATTGTTGTTTTGATTTGCATCTCCCTGATGTTTAGTGATGCAAAGCATTTCTTTCATAAGTCCTGAAAGTAGGTAAAAACATATACATGATAACCTTACAGTACATGTGTGACAAGTTATAATGCCCAAAAGGAGAGAGAAAGAGAAAGAGAGCAAGAGAAGAAAAGTGTCTGCATAGAGGCAGACTGGGGGTTAGGTGGTGAAAGGGGGAAACTAGAGACAGTGATGATGGGAAATGTACACTGGTGAAGGAACAGATGTTGGAACATTGTATGAATGAAATCAAATCATGGACATCTTTGTAACTACCTCATGGTGATTTAATAAAAGAACAGAACAGAGTCAGCTACTGTCATAAGGAATGGTTGGTCATACTGCTTTTTTCTTGTACACCTGTTTTACTATGGACCTCTTGCCTGAAAACCATATTATGTTCTAAATATAAATATTAGAAATGTGATTTTATCTGTTACTGGAAATTGGGTTAAATTTTGAAGATCACTTTGTTGTATTTCACTATAGCATGACAACTTACTGTATATAAAATATAGATAGACTCAGAAACAAACGTTGATAGACCTTCCCTCACCAAAAAGAAGTGGTACACTCAGAAATAAATATATGACATAAATTATTATTTTTCATACATTATTGAACTTGATTCACCAAAATATTTGTCTTGGAAGATATCGAAAATCACTTTTTCCTGACTTTGATAAATTCATAAATAACAAACATTGTTAGAAATAAAAGTTAGAAAATGTTGGATCTTGGAGAAAAATCAAGAATAAGTTCACTTATGAATATTCTTTTACAAAAATTGTCTATTTCTATATTTACTCTTGGGAACTAGAAAAACTGTACCAGTTAATTGGCTCTAGTACAAATTAAAAATCAAGTTGTAGAAACGTTCAGGGTCTATGAGATCCAAATAAACACATTTTTGAAAGTCTTCATTAAGTAAAAGAATGGAGGTTATACATGAAAAAGAGAAAAAGAGAAAGGAACTGGGTAGATAATCTAGTAGTCAACATGTACAGGGAACTGAGCTTCAACTCTGGCACTGCATGGTTACTAAAGCAACACTGGATGTGGCTCTGGTGGCACCCAGCACTGCCAGGCTCAAGCAGCATTACATCACCAGACCTGGACTGTTGACTGAATATTGCTGGTTGTTTCCCCCAGATTCCCTGAGAAATATTTGGGAGGAAAAATAATTAGAGCCAGAGTGAGCACAAGAGAGTTAAGTCACATGCCTGGTGTCTGCAGCAGAACACTATTTATAAAACAACTACTGTAACATAGTATTGTACAGTATTTGTGAACTGTTTTATAATTAATATCCTTGTGATACA